ATCCCAGCTCAGGCTATCGCCACTTGACGGGTCCAATCTAGAACGAAACAGCGTTTGTGGTGTGCCAGTGTTGGGAAGAGCAACACTCATCTATTTCCATTCCAGATACGGTCCTCGAGATCGAAATGACCGAGGTTTACCTCAAAGTGAACCGTGGCCTCTATAGAAGTTGTGAGTCGCAACCCAACCACACAGCGTGTTCCTTAAATTCTGCTTTGAATTATATTAGTTGCTCTTTGAATTATTTTAGTATAAATTTTAGTAGCTTTTCATTTGTATTGCGATACATTAGCGGTTATGTGTTTCGCACCCACAGCTAACGTGTATTGATGGTAACGATGATTAGGTCAGCACAAAATCCAGTATTAAAAAATGCAAATGGCTTAAGCAGCATTTACAGAGAGAAACTTGTGTGGTTAAGCTTATTTACCGCCGAAGAGTATTTAAAGCTAAAACGTGTAACGCTGCTAACAAGGCTTAAAATCGTAATGCCTGTCGATAACAACTACATATATTCTATGAAAAGCTAAGTTTAGATTAAGTATTTTACTTAGAAAAACATAAAGAGAATGGGATAACGGATTGGAGAAATTTGCATATTTATCTGTTCAGTATTCATGGTTCCTTCCATTCAGCACTACCAGATATATGGCATTAGCTTACGCTATTTTCTTGACCAAAGCTTTGACATCATGCTATCCAACTGTAATAGCTGGGGTCTTGAAAAGCAGCACAAGCCTTATTATAGTTCTAATAACCTAGTCGGTGAGTCGACCACTAGCTGTGACACAAATGATTAGCCAAGTGAACCGCTTGACTGGTTCAGCTGCTTGCCCCAGTTTTGCAAAATTGTCTTACACTATAAATGCGTGAAGCAGACTTCAGATATGTCACCGTCCTATTCATCCCAGTTCGCTGCGATTTCACCTAAAATAACTTTGATTGGAAGAAGTCTATGCTTTGTGAATCGGATGAGCTACATCAACATAATAACATTAACAGGAATTGCTGCGAAAGCACAGTGATGTCAGGAAGAACGCTTAATTAGAAAGCGTAGATTTATTCCGTGTAATGACTAACAGTAAAATACTAATGGAAGACCAGACCGGCTATAGATAGTGAATTAAATTGCACATGTTGCAGCCATCAAAGTTATCAAACCAGGGTGCCGCAAGCATACAATTTGCTCAGGGTACATACTATCCGTTTCAAAATACGATATATCATTGCGTATCGTGTCCGCTTGTCTAAAAAATGAATGATAGGAGCTAATATATTGCTCAGAAAATTCAAATAAATTCTCGAAATCAGAATTCTGCGTAAACCTTGTACTTTCTACCGCTTTGTAGTCAACAATATGACTAAACACCGGTTACAGTTGTGACAACCAAGATGTGTGCATTAATGAGCACTTTGATGATTAAAGGAAAAAAGTGCAGACAAGCTGGCCCTAACAAGTCCTACTTATCAGGATGAGCCCAGCTACATGAATCCAGCAGGTTATTACAGAGTGCCGAACGCAGGAGTAATGGACTTTTATGGGGCAGCAAATATATTTGCAGCTTTACGTATAGTATCACCAATAAAATGCGCTGGTAGCAAAACCAAAGGTGACCCTAGGATTACAAGAAAACATTAAAGTGTGTTTTCCAGAAAAGTTATGACATTTAGAGGCTAAGTTGATACTGATTAAACATTCCGCGAAGATAAAAGCAGTGAGGTTTATCACGCATTTTACCGATTGGACATTTCAGAAACAACTAGGTAGCGTACTATGAAACACCAGATATATCCCTTGTAGTCACGCGATTTGTAAAAACGTAGTCACAAACTAGCAGCGTAATGATAACTATTAACCGTTTAGTGGGGTTAATTAAATGGAGTTACACTAGTCTAGCCCAACTTTTGCAAAAGAACTGGAAAATGCGGTAATTTATAAAGAAATGATTTGCATTGGATAAAAACGGTAACTAAGGTATTCCAGTCATCCTGTGAAATGATCCAACAATCACAATTAGGTGAGCGATATAGTCCACATAAGAAGAAGGAAAATGTTATGTCAAATATTATTTCATCCGTGCCGGAGCTGTACGTTATCGGGTGCGTCACCAGGTTGCGGATCGGGGAATGCCTTCCATGTGGAGGTAACTGCGAATAATTCTCGTTTGCTCTGCAGGCGAGAGGAATAAGCAGTCTCGGACAATCAGCGGCAGCGTCTCGAAGCGTGAGGAGTTCTGGGCTGGTCACCTGGTTCTCCATTAAATACCACAAGTGCTCGTACGGTGTTGTATCAAAGCCAATGTGACGGGCGATAGGGTCACTGACCACTCACTCCTGTAACTGAGAGTGAGTATCTAACGGAGAGTGGACGAACAACCACGCTGGCTACCGGCTTCTCTGTGGACTGCTTCCAAACACAAAGAAGACAAATGAGCCACTTGGATGTCAACAGTCTTCCTGAATCACCCCGCTGCTTTGCGGGTCAGGTCTTTAGACCAAAGGCTCGGGGTGGGGTCTCTTAAGTCAACCCTGTTCCTCGGCCTGGACAACCGGGAAGCGCAATGCCCACACAACACACGGAACTTTGCTTCCAATCCTCTTACTCACTCTCTTTTTTGTAGTTACTCTTTTGTTGTGACAGTCTGCTAAATGTTTATTGGGCAAGTGTTAAATACAAATACAAATATTATTTCATAAATTTACCACTGCTGTAACAGGCGTAGCCAATGAAGTAATGAAAGATAGCAAAAATTTGTTAAAGAGACAACAGTAGCTCTATCAAGAACCGCATGAAAAAAGCACAACGGAACCTCGACTAATTACTTTATGCACCATCACTTCTATAAGGGAAATGAGACAGGAGGTTTCTAGCAGTATCAAGTGAGATGATTAAGAATACACAAACCAAATGTTTCCATCACGTCGGGTTTCTTGTAGTTTTAATGTCTTATTTTAGCTAACCAGTGCGTTCCGTGCATCAGTTGCGCACCTGTAATTGGTCAGTTGGCTACCTGTAATCGTGGAAAAGAAGTCCTCCTGGCCATGGTATTCCCCTGATACTGAAAGTCGTTTGAGAGCTGATTTTTTAATTGATATCTTGATTATGGCTACAAGACTCTGTTGTTTCAATGACCAAAAACATTTTTGCCATGTCTGTGAACAGCTTAGTACAAAGTTGCAATGCAGACCCATTTATTCACTATTTAAGTCCACCTACCATGCATATTTCGGGATGAAACTGGGAGATCAGGATAAGTAGTGAGCGCCACATATTGTTTACTTGTCTTCTTCATCTGGCTCAGTGGCTCAAGGGCAAAAGCAGGATGCCCTCTGTAATCCCTATGGTGTGGAGGGAGCCGAAGGATCAAACGACAGACTGTTACTTCTGCTTAGCTAGTGTGATCGGATTCGCCAACCGAACTAAGAACAGAATTCATTACCTGATCTTCCACCATCTATTCGACTTGTTTCACATAAGTGTACCTTAGCCATTATAGTGCTTCCAGTGAACATGTCCCTGATGATGCGTGGTGGTTCCGCATCGTTAACTTACTCTGACATCTGACATCTGTGAAAACTGGAGGCGATGTAGTTATTCCACATCTTATGGAACAATCAGCGCTGAGCTACTTGGTATGTGACCTGGAGTTGCCTAAAGACAAGAAGGAGTTGCTGGGATCTCGGCTGCAGCAGTGGCACTTACTTGCTGCAAACACTAAGGTTACTGTATACAGAAAGCGAAGTGCTAAAATGTCCGGGTTCCATGAAAAGAGAGGAACATTTTGTTACTGTTCCGACGTTAGAGGACTGGTGAAGTAGCTTGGCGTGAGGTTTATCAGTAATGAATAGCTTTTGTACATTGGCTCGTCCAAGAGTAGTCTTTAGGCCATACTGCTCCACAATGGAAATGTGTACTTAACTGTGTCTCAGTTGCGTGCCACCAATATGAAAGAGATTCATGAAAGTATGCAACAGATACTCGCTGCACTGAACTACGTTAACTTCAGTTGGAACACCTGTGCTGACTTCAAAGCCATTGGACTCCTAATCGGTAGGCAAGATGTCTTCACAAAATATTGCTGTTTCTTGTGTTTATGGGGAACTAGAGCAAATAAACGGCACTACACAACCGAAAAGTGGCCACAGGAGGTGGAGTATGCGGCAGGGAAAATAAGTGTCAAGCACACACCTTTTGTACAACCTGATCATATCTAGCTACCACCACTGCACATTAAGCGTGATTTGAATAAAATCTTCCTTAGAGCCCTCCAACGTGATGGTTTTGCGTTTCGATTCCTGAAACAAGTGTTTCCAAAAACCAGTGATGCGGTATTTAAAGAAGGGATACTTAATAAACCTAAAATTCGCTGGAGAATGACAGACAGTGCTTTCGGATGCCAGATGACTTCATTTGAGTTAGAAGGGTGGCAATCATTCGAAACCGTATGCGCAGGATTTTTGGGCAGAACAAAGGCAAAGAGCTACAAAGACATTACAAAAATCACACTGCAGACTGTCGGGTTGTTTGTGCTCGAATGTCAATCAAGATGCGTTTGTTGCATAATCACCCTTACTTTAACCCTGAGAAATTGGGATCTGTTAGCGACGAGCATGGTGAGCGCTTTCACCAAGATACTTCAGTCATGGAGCAGTGCTACAGTGGCAAGTATACGCCTTCTATGAGAGGTGACATTTGCTAGCTTCTGCATTGTGACGAAGCTAGATCATGCAAGAAACGATTTCGGCAAAGTCATCATTTCCCAACTTTAATGTACAGTCAGCAGTTAGCAATGAGCGTTGCAGTGATGTTTTAAACGTATGTACCACATAGAAGCATGCTGTATATGTTGTGATTTAGTACCTTTAATTATAATTTGTACGACGTAGCCTTTAGGTGATAAAAGTGATTTGCTTATAACAATGTAACCTGAAGTGCTAGATAACATCGGAATACATTGCTATGATCAGTGGAGTGTATTCTACAATATACGGAAACTGACCTTCCTGTTATAGCAAAAAACATCTTTGTTGCACAGTGTTACTAAAGAGAATAGCAGGATACTCAAAATTCTTCAAAAAGGCTACGACAAAATATACGTCTCTAAAGAAAAATTGTAACGATTTGATGAGTAAGATTACAGTGTAGGGACTTGGAGAGTACCCCGAAAATATTACCGAATTATAGTCTCGTTATGTAAGCAAGAAAATTAGACTGTTTTTCGCATGTTTCTACCTCCGTTTATCTGCACACATCCAATAAGCACCCGAATGCTCCCTTGGATTTCTAAAGCCATATTTCTTTCTCCCTAGCTATTTTCTCGAGTGCCCATTAGTCTAGCGAGATTGTACTTTTTTGCAATGTATGCATCACATGCCCGGTCTAATATTTTACTTTTTTCATACCGTTGCCTGTTTGCGCGAATATGTAGCTCGTCCATTGCTTGCGCGCTAATGGTTGACTCCGCTATAAATTATGATCCCATATATTCGTTCGTTTCCGCTGGACCAAGCGTTGCTCGCGGATCTCAGTGGCATAGTGCTTATGGCGTCAACCATGAGCCACTAGGCTCTGAGTTCCAGCCCAACACAGGCTATCTCCAACTGATGAGTCCCAACCAGGACGAAACTGCGGTCTTGGGGTGCCCGTGTTGGGGTTAGCAACACTATAATGCTTCCATTTTACTTACGGTCTTTGTGATCGGAATGACCGAGGTCCACCTCAAGTGAACCGAGGTCTCAATAGAGGTGGCTTGTAGCAATCCGACTACCAGCGGATTCTCCAAGTCCAACTTTGCTTAGCAACCTTCTTTCCTATTTGACAAGAATTGCTTAAAATATTTTGCTCCTCCATGTTTCTATTAATAACCTCTTTTTGCATCTCTGTAGCCAGTGCTTTTTACATAGGTGGATTAAAATGCCTGGTAGTTCTAATATTTATTAAACATTCAGACACAGCCAAGATCTAATAAAGAAACAATATATATTGGTGTTTTAACTTGAGCTGTCTAGAAAGACCAACGAGCACGTTTACACTGTCGGCGTTTCTCAGAATTTAATAAGATAAGAGTAAGCACAAGTTTTCATTTTAACGCCGATATTAGTAAAAATTACCTTCAAATGCGACGCAAAACATATAATGTAGCGACCATTTAAATAAAGCACTCAACTGACATGTGTTACTGAAATTCGTTTGCATTTTGTCCGTCTTTTAACCATTTTGCAATTAAATTCCCTTTCTTATTTAGCTTACGTTAAACAACCCGCACACTACGGTGCTTGTGATTTTGCGTATTTGTCTTTGAGTACCTGTGTGGCGTGGTGCAGTACACGCTGGGTCCAGCCTCTATAGTGTTCTTCGTCATCCCTCGTCCGATATTTCACTTAAGTGCTGTTTCCAAAGACTGATGCCGAAGTTTTACCGTGAAGTTTCTTGAATGGAGCCAACCTATATTGTGCGGAAATCTACAAGGGTGCAAGTGTAGGTCGGCAAGAAAACTGAAGAGCAAAGTGCGGAACGCACGGGACAGAAACAGTTAATGAATAATAAAGCTTAGAGACGCAAACGGCAAGCTGAACATTTAGGTATAATGTCGAAGACGTTGGCCGTATTCCATTTTAAGATCCAAGGCAATATACACAGCAAAGTTTGTAAAGCAGCTTTACCTTCAACAGTCTACTCAGCTGCGGTTGCGCTATGCAGTAACGATGTGTTTACATGTCCCACACCCTTGGAGCGCATGGAAACTACAATCAACCTGGGCTTGAAATCTCTTTGCGAGTTGTATCTGAACTCCGCACCCGGCCTTAATGATCTAGGCCCCTTGTTTCTGGAGACAGCGTTTGAGTATGTCGCCGACCCAGTCTGTTAACTGTTTTGGCACGCCATCAAGACGGACCGCCGTGCTTGAATGGAACACAGGTATGGTGAAACTTATCCACAACGGAGCAAATCAACAGGATTCGGGGAACTAGCCGCCAATCTATCTAATGTTGGTTATTTGCAAGACTATGGAAATGCTTGTTAAACAAGCCGTGCAGCTTCATTTTGTGACTATGGATTGCATTTTCCCTGCTTACTACGGTTTTTGGCGAACACGATCCTGTGTCAGCAATCTACTTGTTAATTGCGAGATGTGGGCAAAGCGTATAAACGCACTCAATCGTCTTGGTGTTTTGTTTGATGATTACGGCAATGCATTTGATGGGATTTTAAATAAACGGGAACTTATAAAGCATTGAGTGGTTGACAGCACCAGCGATGTTTTATCAAGGAATACCAATATTGTAGATCGTCGTATTTTGAGGGTAAGTAGAGTAGTGAAAGTAGATCACCAGCTGTACGCCGTAACGGGGGTTTGCTGCCGAGCGACAACCACTAGTCGCGTGTGGGCTGAGTATACCACGAAGAAGCCAGCCACTACAAGGATACGAACGATGACCTTATGATCTACATTAACGGTATTTCAAAGGCGCCTCAAACTGACTGCTTGACCTACATTGAGGACCTCGTATTGTGATCAGAAGTACCTCGGCTTTAAAGTGCAGGAAAATTGCAAATAACACCCCATTTGCTGCAAGCTTGGTCTATTAAGTGGCAATCGCCTGTCAACCATGATAAGTGCTGCTTTCTCCAAATCGGTGCTCCGGAGGCTTTTGACTCATACCACCTTAGTGTTTTTTTGCTTCCCAACGCGGGTGGTGAGAAGGGCCTAGGTATGCTAGTATCTATGAAACTAACCACGGACACGATGCGGAATTTTGCCTCTGCTATCAGGATACTCTAAGTCATACGAAGTTTATTCTCTAAAATAGCGCCTGAGATATTCATGCTCATGGTTTCTTTCCACCACCGCCCAATGTTAGAAGTTGTGTAGCCACCTGGTGATTTCCCAGTTTGAATAGGTAAATTATCCTAAAATACTATGAAATATAGTTTTCTTGGGGCACTGGAGCATTTGACGGTTTGCTTCTCGGAACATTGTTTCCATTTGTTTGAAACACACATACTCATCCGTCTTTGAACCCTACACAACTTTCGGGTACGAAATTGGCTTGAGTCCCGAACAGCATTTGTCCACGCACTCGAGGCACAACCACCCTTTTCCTAACTAAATATCACCTGGTGCTTTATTTTTAGCATTTGTTAACTATCCTCCCGTGCGTGCAACTGACCACCTCGGGCTGGCTGTCTAGCCTCGTACCAGATACATGACGCGCGATACACGTGCTATCCTGGTCACCTGGTATGCACTCTCTCACTAAGTTCGCGTGTAGTTTGGTCGAGAAAGTTTAGAGGCGTGAAGCAAAGTCTATGTCAAGGCTGCGTGATTTGTCATATCCCCTTGCCTTCATATATACATATACATTATCAGCAGCCCATAAGATAGACCTAGAGCCAGCAAAAACCATGCAACGGAAGTAATACATACAGGGAGCACAACGAAAAGAATGAAAGTTTGCAAAACTTTTCGTATCGTCTTTTAGTTTTTGTTTTTCTTTACAGCCTGTTTTATCTTTTTGTCTTTTTACTGTTTGCGATGTAAATCAAGTAAATCAATAAAAATATTTGTACAAATTTTCCGTCGAGCCCAGTTCTGCGCATCAGCAAAAGAGTTTCCAGCCAGCGGTGTTCTATACCGTGGATTCTTCAGCACGGAAGCCGCACGCGACCTAAGATAGCCAAACTGGAAGTCAGCGCTTTAATCGTTTGTCGCCACCTGTTAGGCTGACCTCGCGCGACTTCCACTATCCTGGTCCTATGCGAGGAAAGCGAGCGTGTCAGGGCAGCTGTTTGCATGGCATGCGTAAAACTTGACCCAGCCACCTCAGTTGGAGCAGTGGTACCAGTCTGTCAAGTGGAAGTCCAGTGTTACCCAAGACGCGACGTCTAACATCATCGTTGCGTACGTGGTACATCCACCACACTCAGGCTATTCTCAACAGACCTCCATTGTCAAAGGCCGAATTCAGACGCATGTCATTCACACGAATCGGCCAGGACTCACTACCATACAGCAGCACCGCGCGAACACAGACATTGTAGACCCTGCCCTTTAACAATAGTGAATGGTCGCAGCTTCGCCACAGATGCCTCAAGCTGGCGAATGCCGAACGGGTCTTGGCAGTGCGAAGAGAAATCTATTTTCCAATACTAATATCAGCAGACACAGATTCTCAGATAAACAAAGTTATCTATTTGTTGAAGCTGCCTACCTTAAAAAGTGAGCACTGGAGCAGGTGGAAGCCAATCCAGGACTAAGACTTTGCATTTCGTAGGGGCGAAGGTCATTCCATATTTAGATGTTTCAATCGCTAAGCGGTTTAGAATGGCTTGTGTGCTCTGTGCGGCATTAGCAAGCAAGACAATATCATCAGCATAATCTAAATCAGTCACGCAGTTTCTAGGAAGTAGCATTACAACAAAACTCTAAAAGCCATCGTACACGTTTAAAAGGACATCGACAATCGCAAAATTGAAGAAAAACGGGGGCATGAGGCAGCCCTGTCGTACACCGCTAGTGACGGTAAAAGGTGAAGAGAGCTTAACATAAGTCCTCAATCTACCAAAGACATTGCAATATAATGCTTAATGAATGAAAATATACTTTTCGAGGACTTCATTTCTTTGTAAGCAACGCCATAAAGCTAGCCGATCGACGGATTCAAAAGCGGCTCGGATGTCCAGCAAAACAATGATAATAGGCTGGCGGTAAAGTTGACGCCTTGCAAGGAGTTGGCAGAACTTAAACAAGTGGTCCACACACCCTTAACCAGGGTAGTAAGCAGCTGGTTCTTCACGAGAGTGCAATTCTCGAAATGGGGTTAGGCTGCGGAGTAGAACGGAAGTTAAGAGCTTGGTGGCAATGGAAATTAGACGGATTCCTCGGTGGTTAGCGTATTGCGTACGGGCAGCTTTCTTGTAGATCGGGACAATAATTAACCAGCACCAACCAGATGGAACTGTTTCTTCAAACCAGCTCTAAGAGAACAAAGCTGTCAACTGTTGACAAATGCTTTGTCCCCGAACTTGAACATCTCTGAAGGAAGTCCATCTAGGCCAGCAGACTTGCATCTTTTTGGTGTATGAACTTGTTCTGTCTGGACTACCGTCGACTCCGTAATAATATAATAATAAATAATGTGTCAGCTGTACGCCGTAAGGGCGCTTCGCTGCCGCACTACCACCACCAGTCGCGCGCGGTCTGAGTATACCGCGAGGACGCCCACCCTTACGCGGATTCGAACCGGTGAACTTATGGGGTATGAGATACACTAGACATATTCTAAAAGGGAAAGTTGGGACGAAGACGCAACAGTTCTTCCAGCCCAACGTAGATATATCGAAAGTGCTCAAGTTTAAAATAGTTTAAGCCGCAGAGGTGTCGTTTCTGATCTGACTTCACCCACCAGGCTCGTGAATCAGTGGAACAACCTCCCGAAACGTGTTGTCAGTGCAGCAGCGAGTGAATAGGCACAGAGTGAGAACGCATGTATTCTTTCACTTTTTGGCAGCTGCAGCGACCTTACAAAGAAAACAATTTAGCAACGACACGAATCACCCAGCTAATGAATAGCAGTTGATGCAGCTTACACGGCTTTTCTGTTTTGCTTTCTACAAATTTATGCATCAAAGGCTGGGTGTACGGTTTTATTAAAACAGGCGATCTATTGATAAACTATGGTGCTTTAAACGGTGTACTACAGGATTTAATAGTACGTGAAGCCTACTATACTTGACAATACATTTACTTTCTTTCATTATTTTTTGTCTGCGCATAACCGAAACATCTAATATAGAGCGGCAGCCCGTCCTTCTGTGCAGATTTCGGATCAAACAACGACATATAGTAATTATGAGCAACCCTTATATTGTCTTGAGCGAGACAATACCAACCCAATATTTTATTATATTTAGCATGCAGTCAGCTTATCGAACAAGCGAGGCAATTTAATTTATCTAACATATTCGAACAACTACGATATCTGAAGTTATATAAATGTAAAAACCTAGCGCTTGCATACACGTGCGGCGGTCATCAGCAATTTCACAGTGAAATAATATAAGGTTTAGTAAGTATACTTAGTAAAATGTGTGTACAAATCGATACGTGGGTGTCACTATGAGGCGCCTATCTCAGAGGATTCGTGAGCAAATAACGGCATGGTTTTACAAAGGCGAAATGAGGTCATCAGACAGCTCGGGCAAGTCCCACTTCCTTTAACGTGGGCATACAGCTACCTAGAATGACTTCAAAGTTATCTACTCACTACCTGAATACTTCTCTTAAGGATTCCACAAACAGCTCTTATCCGCCACCGAGGTCATCTACATCAACCATTCGAAACCGGAATGAGGTGTACAAAAACCATTCATACGATCAATAATACTACCTCGGCAAAATGACCCTGTTACTTAGCTATTTAGTTGTCACCTTACCTATCTAATTACTTCCGAATACTGAGCTTTGTGTATGCATTTTTATTTAGTTCATTTGGTTTCCCATCTATATTCCTGTCTCAAGCTATTGGTAGTGATTGATCAAACAGCAAGGAAGTAGATCCCAGCCCGAGTTGACGCTTTCACCATTATCACTGCTATGTTAAAGTTTGGCTCTGATGCGAGTTTATCGAAAAGAATTATTTACCCTGAAGTGACTTCTTATATTGATCCAGATCCAAACCGAAAAGCTTGTCTGTTTGTAAAGGCAAATTAAAACACTAATTGCCAAACGGCTATACAAAATTAAGCTTTCGCAACTAACCGAACATTTTTCCTTCATCTGATAAGACGATCTTCCGTCTTCCACACGGAGGATAAATGATCAATGCCTCCTGAAAACTTTGCTCTATATCAGAGGACCAAACACTATCCTTGGCTTCGTCATCACTTATATCGTGTGTATTATCGTTTTGGTCTTCCCGTGTCTGATGAAGGTCAAGTGGGCGATGAAGAAAACTTCGTTCCATCATTTGCAGTAACACGACAAATAAAAACCTCAACGAAATACCGCGCATGAGTACCAATGGTTCAATAAAACACCTTCGGTTCTACGAACTTCATGTGATAATTAATTGTCATTAAGGCTTAACACCAGTTTGAATCATTTATATATTTAAAAATATCGGTGTCTATCGTCACAATTGCATTCACTTAGCAAAATATGACATTTTACCTTCTCTATTATTTCGGTGGGCTAATCATTGCCGATAAAAAGGAAAGTCTTTATGTTTAAGAGGATGTCTATTTGCAACGAAATTAAGTTCCTAAAGCAGTAACCCGTTCAGTAATGGTTCATTGGTAGGTATAGAGCTGGAGCGGAAAGCCTTGTCGGTTCAGGTCAGATCAAACGGACGATAAAGGCTTTCGCCTAACGAGCGTCCAGTTTTCTGTGATGGTAAGTGAAGAGGCCCCGGCACTTCAACGTTGGATTTGCTTCTTGCTTCTGCAAAAGAATGAAGCAAGAACAAGTGCGATCTTTGCACTTTCGTGTGTCAGCATCAAGATATACCGAATATTCCAGTACGATTACAATACCATTGGAAAAAGGATTGACCAAAGCACATGTAAGCCCTTTTTCGAGGCTTCTACAGACTCACACCACTGAATCAGTAGGGTGTATTCCAGTAGTTAACTACTCGATGCGTAACAAACTTTGCCTTGATTTCCACACGAGCTTCAGGCAATGCACGCGCAGATGGTCTGACATAGCCAACCCAAACAGATGGGTGGAACTAATACCACTAAGTCCCTTAATGACCTTAAGCGTCTCTATCACATCCCTCTCACCCTACGCCTTTCTAAGGAAAATAATCCCAAGCTACTTAGACGATCTTCGTACGACTTCCCTCGTTGACCTTCGATCATCCTGGTCGCAAGTTTCAGAATTTTTGCTATACAAAGGAAGTCACGCCTGGGGTACTGTGCCCAGGCCTGAACACAATACTCCAGATGTGACTTAACCAATGCTTTATATAGTGACAAGAGTACTTCTGCTTTAGTGTTACTCAGCGCCCTCCTAAGACGAAATAACTCTTGTCGCACTTTATTGGCAGCATGGTGACCTTGTGCCGAAGGCTTAAAATTGTTCACTAAGATGACACCTAGAGCGCGGGCTTCGTCAGTACACTGCAATGCTAGAGATCCTGCAGGAGACTGAATTGCAATTCCGCTGCCATTATTGGCCAATAGTTGACATTCAGATGTGGATCCCCTTCGTTCGACCAATTCACCACAATACTTTTGTCCTTAGCCAATGTAGCTCGGTTTCCCCTACTGACTATGTAAGCGACAATTTGCTTTGAAGGGCCTTGAGCCAACGCGTATCCAGCCAGTCAAAGAACAAAACACTGGACAAGATGACGGTACTATTAACGAACAATCAGGAAGCAATAATATTACAAACCTCAATAGTAGCGCTTCCACTCAACGCAGTTTCAAAAGAGATACAATTCGATCCGAGAACAACAAGAAAGGGTTCAGATCGTCAATGCGATACAGAATACGGAACACTGGTTATATAGGACAAGTGAAGTCAATGCGATTGGTCAAACACCGACCGGATGAAGGCCGGATGCGTGAAATGTGAGTGTGTGGGATGATAAGTACATTACTCATGCTCAGTGCGAGAATAATTGGGGTGATTGTTGCCGTGGTAAGGACAAAGATAATTGAGGTGATAGTTGCGGTGGTAGTGAGAAAGATAATTGAGGTGATAGTTGCGGTGGTAGTGGCGAAGGTACTTGGGGGGTGGTAGTTGCGGTGGCAATGGCGAAGATAATTGGGGAGGGGGCGATAGTTGCGCTCGGAGTAGTCCACACTCGATGGTTGGCGGATGGCGGAGTTGAAAACAGGGCATGGAGAATCCTACACTCCCGCCAAATTTCGGACAGAAATTTCACTTCGGGATCTTGAGTTACTCTGGTTCACCCTAACCTGCTCCATCCACTATGGAGAAGAGTAGGACTTACAACGGTACGCCTAAACTTCTCCACTTCGGTCTGTTGAGCTCACGGTGGTCCTCCCTGAGGCAGCAGATTCGAAAACCCACCTCCCACTTGCGGTGCTTCAACAGCCGGGACTGACCCCTTGCCCCATTCGCTGCCTTCGATAAGGCAGATCTTTATAACATCGCGCGCAAACAACCCATTTATTCTAACCGACCTTGTCTTTACTAGGCCGTCCTGGGTGTTCGTACCACGCTCAACCACTGCCAAAGGCCAACTGTCCCGACAGTGTGAATCCGAAGTGACTAAATCCACGTCCTTATGTCTAACGTTGCGTTGTAATTTCGGCCACCTTTGCTTCAGGTGCATTAACGTGAGATACTCCTTGCTCCACCGTTTCCAAATTAGTGTGGCTAAGTAGTTAGTTTGCCTACAACATTGTGCAGACCCGTTATGAAGCTTCGCTGGTGCTGTTCCCTCTCTATTCGATCTGAGTATCAGCAGATCATTAGGCGTGAGAACTGGTTGATCAACCGCGATTGTCGTCAGCAGGTTAGGAGGCCTACTGTTAATGATAGGCTCTGCTTTGACGAGGAACAGAGGGGGCTCTGCCGATACTGTAACAACGTGGGCTATCGTGCATTTATTTTCCACTGAGAGTGCATGATCACCTGTATCCACACGAGCAAAGTCGTTGTTGCACAATCTCCCTAACTGTTCTTCAGCTATCGGCCTACAAACATGGCAATCATGTACGGAATCAACGGCAGTTCTGCCTTCTCCAACTGGGCCTAACAACGTCCAACCGAGTAAGGTTTTCACAGCAAAAGGATGATTTCTATCCCCAAGACGTTGCTCTAAATGCCAGTGTGCCTCTGACACGTTAGCACCTAAGAGTATTCGGATCCGACTATCCCGGATTTCCTCAAATGGTATATCCGCCATGTGTGGCCACTGGCGCGCCAAATCCCTCTTCGGGGTTATAATGGGTTCCAAGGGCAGTCTTGGCAAGCAGTAGGCCTGCCTAACAGAAATCGAAGCAGTGCCATCTAGGGATGACAAAGTGAAACCTACATAACCCGCTTCGATCGAGGATGTGCCCGACATCGTCGTGAATTCCAAACGACTTGGTGTGCCCCCGATGCCGGCTTCTTCCATAAGTCCTTCTTCTACCAAACTTACATTCGAACCTGTATCTAACAAGGCGTATGTTTCCAATAATCTTCTTTGGCTTTCTATACGCACTGGTACCACTCCCAAACACACCTGCTGCTGTGCAGTGAAGGTAGCAGTGCAAGTGTTTGCTACGGGCGGTGAAGTCACTTGTCTGGACTCTGAGTGAAGCAGTGGATGATGATGCCCTCTGCAGTCAGACACATTTCATTCTTTGCTATTCTGACAGGTGGCAGATTTGTGACCTGTTTCTAGACACCTGAAGCACCCACCTCTGGACTTCATGAGCCTCCACCTGCTAGGAACATCCAAAGAGAGAAAACTACGGCACGAGGCCGTGGCTTGATCACTACCACAATTCAAACACGCTGTTTTAGGAGAGGCACTTGAGCAGGTGTAGAGGACGTGGCTACGATCGTTTCGTCTGTGCTCTACTAGCGGTGGTCTGGCATCTAAATGCTGCCGCGACGCATTTGACGAAGCGATTTAACCGAATCTACTTCGCGCAACACGAGATTCCGCGGCAACGAAATCAGCCAAGTCCTTGAAATCGACCTCCCGCCTATCATGCGTGATCGAATCTGCTACCCTTGCCCACCGGGCCTGAAGGCTGCTGGTAAAACACGCACTACTCGTTCAATCGTTGCAATGGAATTCAAGTCCGCAGTAAAGTTCATCTGCGACAGAGCGATGTAGCAATTTTCCATTTTCATGGACAATTTACTCAATTCATCTGGGTTGGCAGAGAGTGGCCTCAAGCCAGTCATGAGACCATCAATTAACGATCTGGCTACGACATGGCTTTCTCCAAGTAGTTCACGGAGGACCTTTCTCGCTCTATCGTGGGCCACAGCGGGAGGCAAAATCACACATTCACTGATGGCCTCCTTGGCATAGCCACGACAATAATGAATCAAGTAAAGCAGTCGCAGGCCACTGTCAAACACGCGGCTTTCGACGTAGTATTCGAACTGCTTTACAAATTTCCAATACGTAGCAGGTTTACCATCGAAATATTGTGGTTCAACCTTTGGCAGATCTAGCTGTAGGCACTGCTGTGACACTAACCTACCCCGATTGGCTCTGTGATCGTATGCCTCGGCTGCCGACAACTGACACTGATCAACAAAAGTGCCTATACCCTGATTCCTCTCACCAGAACTGGGGGCCGATATCACTTTAAGATTAGAGTGGACATTGCTTTCTTCCAATTCTACTCGAAGCTTGGCCATTTCTAATTCAAGATCTACTAAACGCTTCTGTTTATCCAAATCTGACTGTCTTTTTCTTAACTCCGCTACAGTCATTACAGCGGACGAACGATGGGAAATAATACTATGCTCAATCTTATGGCTAACATGTGAACCAGAGCATGAAGCACCATCATGATATTCATCAATGACTTGCCGGTATGCTGCATCATCCATGGGATTTTCAGAGGTAAAATTCCTTGCAGACATTGTCCGATGTGATTGAGTGAGTTCCACTTCACTTCAAGGCGTAAAGAACCGTGAAATTCCGGAATCCAGTTGAAAGCAAACGAAATGCTGTTGAGTACGGCACTCGAAACTTCAAACTTCACTCCAAACGAGGAAGCAGTATTGAGTACTGTAAGCGACAATTTGCTTTGAAGGGCCTTGAGCCAACGCGTATCCAGCCAGTCAAAGAACAAAACACTGGACAAGATGACGGTACTATTAACGAACAATCAGGAAGCAATAATATTACAAACCTCAATAGTAGCGCTTCCACTCAACGCAGTTTCAAAAGAGATACAATTCGATCCGAGAACAACAAGAAAGGGTTCAGATCGTCAATGCGATACAGAATACAGAACACTGGTTATATAGGACAAGTGAAGTCAATGCGATTGGTCAAACACAGACCGGATGAAGGCCGGATGCGTGAAATGTGAGTGTGTGGGATGAT